TTTTATGTTTTCTGATTGCCTCCAGGTAGATGTGATCAGGAGATGGGCTTCCCTTTTCACTCGTCTTCCTGAGAAATTTCAAGATGCCACTGTTGGTTGTTGTAACGTAATTCAGGATTTAATTTTTGGCCTATTTCTTTTTTAGTCTGCCTGTCCCACTCCACAATCCCCGTTCAGGCCTTGTTCTTCTTGATAAACAGTTCGTGGCCAGCTGTGGCTGTTTGGTTTTAAGTGGAAACTGCCACTTTAAGCTTCTAGGAGATCCGTGCATGTACATAGTAGAACCCTCTGGGGGTGGGGGGTAGGGTGTCCACTTACTCAGACACCGCCTCTAGTCACCAGAATGGAGGTGCGCAGACAGCGAGAGATCAATGAACAGATACCAAAAATAAAAGAATGTCCACACCTTTATCTCCATGGTTCTGTCAGGCATCCGTGGCTGCTCTGATCCTTTCCCCACTTGCTCTTGTCCAAGATGGCAGCTTCGGGAGCAGCTGAGCATCTTGAATTAGAAAGCAATGGATTTCTTGCTTCAGCTACAAATTCCCCTAGCTGTAAGCCTTCCAAACTTCTAAATATTCCTTTATATGTGGTTTAGAGTTCTGGCACCATCCCCTGAGCCTGCTTGGTCTGGTATTCTATATTGTTGCTGATGGAGCTTTTCACTGCACTTCCACCCAATCCACTATCTTGTGTGTTCTCCTTATCAATGCATTTTGATTGCGTGTTTGATCAATTTCAGACTATAGAGGTTGGTAGAAATCTTCAATTTCCTCAGATTTGTCACTAGCAGTTGGCAGTCATATTAACTGGTCTCCCTTGTCAGTGTATGTATATTATTCTATTTCTGACAGCACTGTACTTCAGAATAGATTTTGAAATGTTCTTTTTGATGATGAAGATGCCATTCTTCTTCAGTTTGATGATGAATAGGATGCCATCCCTCTTCAGTTATTGTTCCCAGCATATAAACCCTATGGCTGTCAGATTCAAAATAGCCAATACCAATCCATTTCGGCTCACTAATGATCATGATCTCTATGATTTGGCTCACTAGGGTTATGATCTCTATGTGCTCCACTTCTCTTGCAACAACTTCCAATTTTCCTAGATTCATACTTTGTACATTCCACATTCTGATTATTAATGAATATTTGCAGCTATTTCTCATCATTTTGAGTTTTGTCACATAAGCAAATGAAGGTCCCCAAAGCATTGCTCCATGCACATCATTAAGGTCAACTCTACTTTGAGGAGGAAGCTGTTCCCTAGTCATATTTTGAGTGCCTTCCAACCTGACAGGCTCATCTTCCAGCACTCTATCTAACAATGTAAGTAAGTTACTTTAAGTAAAACTCAACACAAACCTTGCCACATTGTAAGTAATATTTGTTGTTGTTGTACCATTGAGCCAGTTCTGACTCATAGCAACCCTGTTTAGGGTTTCCAAGGATCAACTGGCAGATTTGAACTGCCAAACTTGTAGATAGCAGTCCAGTACTTATCCTACAGTGCCACACCAGGACTCTAAGAAATATTTAGTGTTGGCTGTTATTTATTGTCATACTCTCTGTCAAGCATGAAACTTGATATGGTCCTCCTCCATATCAAACAGGTAATTTCTATACAGAAGAAAAGTAAATCATACTATTGTATTGTATCCATATCTCAAAGCTTCAGGTAAGTACTTATGGGTAAGACCTTTTGTATGGATCAAATCTACTTTCATTTCCCTATAATCAGCACACACTCTCTCTTTAGTATTTGTGTTTTAGGTGAAAGTTCACACTGCAAATTAGGTTTCCATTTAACAAGTTTTATTTGTTCTGTGACATTTTTTACAATTTTAACACCATGTCAACATCCTTGTTATTTCCTTATTTTAGTGAGGCACAGAGTGGCTAAATAACTTTCCCAAAGTCACACAGCTCTAAGTGGTGGGATTTAAACCAGTGCAGTCTGTGCTGTGGACTACTACATTACACTACACTGCCTTTCAATATGTCATTGGCATTGATCTTAGTAAGCATAAGTGTTAATGATTAGGTTGTTGTTGTTGTTGTTATGTGCCGTCGAGTCGGTTCCGACCCATAGCGACCCTGTACAGGGTTTCCGAGGGTGTAAATCTTTACAGGAGTAGAAAGCCTCATCTTTCTCCCACAGAGCAGCTGATAGTTTCGAACCGCTGACCTTAAGGTTCACAGCCCGATTCGTAACCACTACGCTACCAGAGCTCCTCCAATGATTAGGTATAGCTACATATATTCCTCACACTTTTGGTGGTCTTGCTGTGAGCCTCAGTGGTGCAGTGGTGAAGTGCTTATCTGCTAACCAAAAGACTGGGAATTCAAACCCACCAGGTGCTCTGTGGGAAAAGATGTGGCAACCTGCTTCCTAAAGATCTACAGCCTTGGAAATCCTATGGAGCCATTCTACTTTGTCCTTAAGGGTCCCAGTGAGTTAGAATCAACTCAATGGCAACAAGGTTTTAAGGGGCAAACAACTCATTTGTAATATTCTTACCTGCAAAAATCAGATGGAAAGACATAAAGGATCTCATCTTTGGTTATTAGTGGGTGAAAAGAATCTCCATCGGTTCCATTAATCATATTGCAGCTCTCTGTTCCCCACCAGTCAAGTGACCTGCAGTTAATAAGCACAGGAAAGGAGAAAGATGATCAAATTTGCTTTTAAAGCTTTTTAAATAGTCAGGGCTTTTCATAGCTTCCCATGTATCTTATTTATTTGCAGACACAAGTGTACTCTTTGTTAGGGATCAGATCAAAGGAGAGAAACAGTAAGGCTCCAGTCCCTAATTCAATTGTGATAGAAGCAGTAGCCCCCAATTCCTCTACCTTTTCTCAAAAAAAGTATAGCCTACATAAAGGATTATGAATTGGGCTGTGAACCACAAGGTCAGCAGTTTGAAACTACCAGCTGTTCCGCGGGAGAAGGATGAGGCTTTCTGCTCCAGTGAAGATTTACAGCCTCAGAAACCCTGTACAGGGTTGCTATGAGTTGGAACCGACTCCACGGCACATAACAACAAAAAACATAAAGAATTAAGGAGTCCCTGAGTGGTACAAATGGTTAAGCACTCAACTACCCATCAAACCCACCAAAAGGCACCTCGGAAGACAGACCCGGTGATGTGCTTTCATAAAGTCACAGTTTTGAAAACCACAAGGGCAGGTCTACTCTCCACACGTGGGGTTACCATGAACCACAATCCACTCAAGGGCAACTAACAGCAACAACAGAGAGGATTAGAGAGACAAAGTTACTTAAATCAGTGATCCCATTTAGCCTTGCTCATCGTCAACCCACAGACAGATGTTGACTTCACATCAGTACCTCCTATGTTTGCTCTTTAATAGTCATGATCCAGTGTTCATTATGTCTCTCCTGAAAACAGTTCTCTGGTTTATACACGACAGTGGAGTTCTCTTGAATCACAAGAAAGCTCAATATTAAACTGATTTCATACTAAAAGCACAGTTGAGAGTGGGTTTTTCTAATTAAAAAAAAAGTCAGGTTAAAATACATTTTTCCCATTTTTATTTCGAAGTAATTTAAATCTTGTTTTAAAAGTTACAAAAACAGTACCAAGAGCTATATGTATCCTTTACCCAGGTAAACCAATTATCAACATTTTGCCACATAAAGTCAATATTTTTGAATAATGGTATAAAATGCAAATGAAAGAAAAGGACAGGCAACAAATAATAATTTTCTCAACTTCTGGTCAACATGGAACTCCAACTTCATCAATTGAGAGACTATTCCAAATAAAAACACAGGGCTGTTGCTGTTAAGAGCCGTTGAGTCGATTCCAACTCATAGCAACCCCATATTGAGTTTCTGAGGAGCGGCTAATGGGTTTAAACTGCTGACCTTGCTTTATCCTATAGCACCACACCAGGACTCCACATTACATATAAAAACGCTGTTTATGTTTTTCATGGCATTACTTACTTGTTGTTTATTTCCCCTAAAAGCTCTACATGATGAATTCTTTCTAGAATTTAAAGTCAGGATGAAGTTTCTTTTTCTTGAAATGCTGTAGGCAATAAAAACCCCACAGTTCCCTTGTTTGTCTAGACTTCTGGGAAGTTCAGAAATAAATCCAATGACAGAACTCCTCTTACCTCAGGCCCTGAAGAATTACCCTTCTTCTCATGATTGTTTCTAAAGTTTCTTGACTTAAAAAAAAAAAAAAAAACTCATCTTGTTTTACATGTAATTTTACTGAAAGTTGCCATACCTCCATTTTGGAAGTAATTTCTTTGTAAATTATAAATAAAAATAATATACTAAAAAGTATTCCTGAAATGCTAGAATGGTGAACTCAAATGTATTCATCCAACAAATTCAAAGAAAATATACCAAAAACTCACAATCACTAAAGTAAATTAAAAAGAAGGAGAATATCAGGACCTTAGTCTCAGGGGACACCATGGTCAACTAGCAGAACATAGTCCACAAAGACCATGTTCTACATCCTACTTTGATTAGTAGTGTCTGGGATCTTGAAAGCTCATGAGAGGTCATCTAAGGTGCAGCTATTGGTCTCTCCATGTGCGGAAGAAAGAAGAGTGAGAAGAGTTGAAGAGACTTGCAATCAATTAGTCCAATGAACTAATGGAACGTGTGAATACCATATTCTGAGACCAGAAGAACTAGATAGTACCTCACTACCACTACCAAATGTTTTGAAAGGGATCACATTAGATGGTCCTAGATACCGTGGAATGAAATGTGGAACAAAACTCAAAATTATTTGAAAAAAAGAAAAAAGACTGGGTTTATTGGTTGGAAAGAGACTGGAAGAACCTGAGACTATGGCCCTTGACCACCCTTCAGGTCTGCAAAGGAAGTCACCCTTGGGGCCCAATTTTTAGTCAAGCAGTAGATAGGGTTGTTTTGTTTTTGTCTTCTTATAGGGGAGACAAAAACACTAGTAAGGTATGCTCACCATTCATCCAATAGCTGAAAAGCAACATTTACCTAAGGACAAATTTGAGAAGGGATACGAAAGTGAGTGGATTTCAAACAGGAAGCACAGGGAGAAAGCAGGATAACTGTTGTTGCATGGTAGGGATTGTAATCAATGAAATGAGATAAAGTGTAAGATCTGTTGAAGGTAAAACTGATGATCTTCTCATGATCTGCTCTGTAAACCTTAATTCAATTCACAGCAAAAAGTAAAAGGATATTTTTCTCCTTTCCTGTAAAATAGACAAAAGCAAGTGGTGGTTTGAAAACTAATTGTGCTGTAGTTATGATATAGTCAATGATTACTAAGGAACCAAAGGAAGACTTTTCACTAGCTTATCATTTAAGCCTGGTCACTATACATCTGCAAATTTATATTTAGTTTAAAAAGTGTATCACCCAATCTTGATTTGTAAAAACATATTTACAAGAATATTTCACATATTTATAGAATTTTCATCCGAAAAATGACAGTGCTTAAATTTTTGAAACAATGAAGTGAACATTTCATTTAAATGTAATTTGAAAAAAATAATGACACTTCTGCTTCATCAGACTTACTTTTTTCCATTCCATTCCACAATCTTTGAAAAGTTACGGTAATTGTCTTCTCCAGTTAGAAAAACATAGTCTCCATCATTAGTACCATTTTTCTGAAAATAAGTGAATATGATAAGTTAAAGTAAATTTAATCTCCTTTATAAAATCTCCCTAATTGGGCCTAATACATACATAGATCAGAACTAGGAAGCAGTAAATAACTTGTCAAATTTGTCATATAAATCATATCATTACTTTATGGTTTTAAAAAGCACAAGCCCAGTGATCCAATTAAAACTGGAAAGGTATTTGGATAGGCATTTCTGTAAAGAAAATATACAAATATCCGGTGAGCACATGGCAAGATGTTCAGCAGTCAAGCCACCCTGCCATCGAGTTGATTCTGACCTTATAGGACAGAGGAGAACGCTATAGTCTTTCCAAAACTGTTCATCTGTGTGGGAGCAGGCTGCCACATCTTTCTCCCACAGAGTGGCTGGTGGGGTTGAACTGCCAACCATGTAGTTAGCAGCCCCATGTGTAATCCATTGTGCCACCAAGGCAGCAGTCATTAGGGAAAAGAAAAAACCGTAATGACATACCAATACGCATCCACCAGGATGGCTATAATAAAAAAAGGACAATAGCAAGTGTTGCCGAGGATGCGGAGAAATAAGAACCTTCATACAATAATTGTAGGAATGTAAAGAGCTGCAGCTACTTTGGAAGTCAGGCAGTTCCTCAAAAAAAAATTAGACACAGAGTTACCATATGACCTAGCAATTCCACTCCTAGGTATTTATCAAAGAGAGATGACTAGCTATATACAAATATTCACAGCAGCATTATTCATAATAACCAAAAAGTAGAAACAACTCAGATGTCAAACAATTAATGTAGGGCTAAACAAATTGTGGTCTATCCTGAAATATTTGACAATGAAATTGAAGTGCTGATACATGCTACAACATGGCTGATCCTTGAAAACACCCTACATGAAAGAAGCCAGACCCCAAACAAACAAACAACCAAATTTTGTGATTTTATGATTATCTACAATGTTCACAATAGGCAAAATCTACAGATAAAGATTATTAGTTGCCAGGAAATGGGACAGTACTCATCTGTCAGTTTGTCATACTGTGGGAGCTGGCGTGCTGCTGTGCTGCTGGAAGTCATGCCACAGGTATTTTAAATACCAGTAGGGTCACCCATGGTGGACAGGTTTCAGTGGAGCTACAGGCTAGGAGGAAGGAGAGGTGGACTATTTCTGAATATTTAACCACTGAAAATGGTGAAACATTGTGTCAGAAGGTAAAAACATTATGAATGGCAGTGAAATACTGTCCGATATAGTGCTGGAAGATGAGCCCTTCAGGTGGAAAGTACTCAAAATCCAACTGAGAAAAAACTGCCTCCTTAAAGTAGAGGTGACCAGAATGACGTGAATGAACCAAAGCTTTTGGGGCCTTCAATTGTTGATGGAGCACAACTCAAAATGAGGAGGAACAGATGCAAACATCCATTAATAACAAGAGCGAGGCATGCACAAAGTATGAATCTGGGAAAACTGGAAGTAATCATAAATGAAACGGAAAACATAAAGATCAATATCCTATGCATTAGGGAGCTGAAATGGACTGGTATTGTTCATTCTGAATCAGACAATCATATGTTCTACTAAGCTGGGAATGTCAAATTGAAGAGGAATAGCATCAAATTCATTATCAAAAAGAATATTTCAATATCTGTCTTGAAGTTCAATGCTATCTGTGATAAGATAATATCCACACACCTACAAGGAAGACCAGTTAACATGACTATTATTCAAATTTATGCTTCAACCACGTGTTGTTAAGTGCCAGTCAAGTTGGTTCTGACTCATGGCGACCCTGTATAGGGTTTCTGAGGAGCAACTGGTGAGTTTGAACTGCTGATCTTGTGGTTCACAGTCCAGTGCTGATCCTACAGCACCACACCAGAAGTCCTACCACTAAGCCTAGTGAGGATAAAACCAAAGAATTCTACCAACTTTTTCGGTCTAAAATTGACCAAACATGCAATCAAGATGTATTGATAATTACTGGCGACTGGAATGCAAAGGTTGGAAACAATCAAGGATAAGTAGATGGAACACATGGTTTTCATGATAGAAATGATGCTGGCGATCACAAGGTAAAATTTTGGAGGACAAATGATTTCTTCATTGCAAATATAATCTTAAAACAACAACAAAAAAATTACTATACATGGACCTCACCAGATGGAATATACAGAAATTTTACTTCCTACATCCATGGGAAGATATAGTAGAAACTCTCAATATCATCAGCCAAAATAAGGCCAGGGGCAGATGGTGGAACGGACCATCAATTGCTTATCTGCAAATTCAGGCTGAAGCTGAAGAAAATTAAAATAAATCTGTGAAAGCCAAAATATGACCTTGAACATATCCCACCTGAATTTAGAGACCATCTCAAGAACAGGTTTGAGGCATTAGGCACAAATGACTGAAGACCAGAAGAGTTATGGGATGAGATTTAGAACATAACACAAGAAGAAAGCAATAGGTCATTAAGAAAAGAAAGGGGGAAAAAAAAACAAACTGCATGTCAGAAACTTGCTTTCCAGCATACAGATGCTAAAGAGAATGGAAGAAATGAATAAGTAAACAAGCTGAAGGGAAATTTCAAAGGGCAGTTTGAGAAAACAAAGTAAAATATTATAATGAAATATACAAAGACCTGGAATGAGAAAACCTAAAGCGAAGAACATACTCAGCATTTCTCAAGCTGAAAGAACTGAAGAAAATTCAAGCTTTGGCTTGCAATACTGAAGGATTCTAGGGGCAAAGTAATGAACTATGAAGAAAGAATCAAAAGAAACTGGAAAGAATACACAGAATCACTGTACCAAAAAAGAAATGGTTGGTGTTCAACCATTTCAACAGGTGGCATATGATCAAGAACCAATGGATCAAAAGGATAACAGAATACTATGACTTAGAGATGGAGGTCAGGAGACAGACTTGAAGAATGTGCCCTTTGGTGGTGTAAATTATTATATATGCCTGAGTGCTTAAAAAAAGAGCTAAAATGAATATAGAGAAATACTGTTAACTGATGGTACATGGAGGAGATTATAATCATTGTAATGAAACAACGTGTATAATTTGTTGAATGTAAAACTGATGATTTGCCCTGTAAACTTTCACTGAATTCACAATAAAAACTTTAAAGAAAGAAAACAAACCCAGCATTTCTCAAGCTGAAAGAACTGAAGGAAAAATTCAAGCCTCGGGTTGCATATTGAAGGAGTCTATGGGGACTCCTGGTCTGGCACTGCAGGATAATACACTAGACCACATGGTCAGTTTGAACCACAAGGTCAGCAATCCAGACCCACCAGCTGCTCTTCAGAAACCCTGTGCAGGGTCACTATGGGTCGGAACTGGCTCGACACGGCACATAATAACAACAACAATGGGACTCCTGGTGTGCTGTAGGATCAGCACTGGACTGCAAACCACAAGGTTAGCAGTTCAAACTCACGAGCCCTTGTTCATTGACCCCCCAATTTACCAAGCAACAGATTGAATAAGTGTAGTTAAAGGATACAACTCTGGCACACACCTTTCCTCAAAAACCCTATACAGAGTCGCTATGAACTGGAACCAACTTGACAGCACTTAACAAAACAACAACTTAGGCAAAACACTGAATGATGCAGAAATCATTAAATGATTCTGGAAGGAATAAATGAAGATGGAAGGAATACACAGAGTCATTGTAACAACAACAAAAAAAAGGGTTGATCTTCTAGAACCAATGGTACTGAAGAAAGAAATCCAAGCTGCCCTGAAGGCATTGGCAAAAATCAAGACTGCAGGAATTGACAGAATTCCAATTTAAATGTTTCAACAAACTGATGCAGCACCAGAGGCGCTCATTCATTCAAGTAAAATAACATTGGAAGATAACTATCTGGCCAACCAATTGGAAGAGTTCCATATGCTTTGCCCATTCCAAAGACAGGTAACTAAGCTATGAAGTCTTTTACCACTTCAATCATTTCTCCATTTATCATTGCTCCAGTTATGAGGATTTTTGTTTTCTTTATATTGAGGTGAAATTTATACTGAAGGCCATACCTTTGATCTTCGTTAGTATTTTGAGTTCTTTTCATTTCAAGAAAGCCAAGTTGTGTCATCTGCATACTGAGGTTGTTAATAAGTCTTCCTTCCAACCTGATGCCGTGTTCTTTTTCATATAGTCCAGCTTCTCAGATTATTTGCTCAACATACAGATGGATGTTGTTGTTGTTAAGTGCCGCCGAGTGGGTTCCAAACCATATCGATGATATGCACAACAGAGTGAAATACTGTCTGATTCTGTGCCACCCTCACAACTGTTGTTACGCTTGAGCCCATTGCTGCTGCCATTGTGCCAATCCATCTCATTGGGGGTCTTTCTCTTTTTGTCTGACCCTCCACTTTACCAAGCAACAGAATGAATAAGTATAGTTAAAGGTTAAAACTCTGACACACAACTTTCCTGATTTTAAACCATTCAATATTCTCTTGTTCTGTTCCTCATGAGCACAATTTAAGTGTTCTGGAATACCCATTCTTCATAATATTATACATAGTTTGTTATGACACACTCAAATGTCTAAGCATATCCCATGTAATCTATCACTCAATTCACAATAAAAACTAAAAAAAAAAAAAAAAAAATCTATGCATAGTCAATAAAAGTATAAGAAAACATCTTTTTGATAGTCTCTGCTTTCAGCCATGATCCATATGGCATTAACAATGATACCATGTCTCTTCTGAATTTAACTTGAATTCTGACATCTCCCTGTCTATGAACTGCTGCAACTACTTTTGAATTATCCTCAGCAAAATTTTAGTTACATGGGATATTAAGGATATTGTTGGATGACTTCTACATTCCATCGTGTTACCTTTCTTTGCAGTGGGCACAAATAAAGATCTCTTCCAATGGGCTGGTCAGATAGTTGTCTTCCAAATTTCCTGGTGTAGATAAATGAATGCCTCCAGTGTTGTATCAGTTTTTAGAACTATCTCACTTTGAATTCTGTCCATTCC